GTAGAAAAACTTTACAATTTGCTGTTCCAAATGATATTGTAAATTTTAACGTAAACAAAATAAAAGCTCGGTGCAAAATTAAGAAAATAGAAAATAAATACTTCTCTTACTAATGTTCCCACCAATAAAACAAAAGCAATGAATTCGATTAATGTTTGTGTTTATTTCAGAGTTTTAGGCAACGGGCTAATCGCCAAGTAATACTTGCAACAAAACAATTATGCCCGTTGATGAAAGGGAAATTCGGACACATTTAAGAATTTCTTGCAACATTGGCACACAGCCTTTCTGATGAAATAAGGTGGGCTATCCAGCTAATTTATTGACGGTATGAGGGTGTATTAACCTCCAAAATACCCTCTGCGCTCGCGCCGGTCTTATGACCTTTCGCCATAAAACCAGTCTCGCCTTAGAATTTGTAATTAACAGATATTTCCTAAATAAATTGAATCAAACTAGAAACAACGCTATCCCCACTAAAGTCAGCGCTGCCAACTTTACCATATAAATCATTGATTTTTTCGAAAATTCATTATCGAGTTTCGTCATTTTTTTATTACGGAAATACCCAAAATTCCATTTCTTTTTTAAATAGCACAAAAAATTATTATAGCACATACATACGTATCTATGTACATATTTATTTATACATATATCAACCTACGTGCTGAAATAAAGCGCAAGCTAATAAAAATTAAATTTGAAAACAAAATTAAGTTGTTAAACTGATTTTCAATTTCGCCGGCCATAAAAGAAACAACCGAAAGTAATTTGTTGAAATTTAAATGGAGTCATAAAATATGCCTCAAATCGCTTAAACGCTCGATATGCAATACATTAATATTTATATTATCAAAAATGTAATAAAATTTTGTTTGCAAGCCAAAAATTTACTCCTTGCGAAGGGCAAAGGTACAGAGCACAACCTTTTTTTTTTGCTGTGCGTCAATGCAGCTAAACGTATTTGGAGACATGAAAGTTATATTTAGGTGCACGCACACCCAAAGCTAATTAAAATTTTATTGTAAAGACAGACTTTCGTTGCCAAAATTGCACCACAACCTTGAACAGTTGTCGTCTGCAGAACGCAACAGAAGCTGGGACGGTGCATTGAACCCATGTAGTTGTCGATTATATTATGCATACGCTTATGTATATTTGTACACACTGCATATGTGGGCTGCTGTGATATATACAAATGACTCAGAGTAGAAATTAAAAATAATAAAAAATAACAATTATTTTCAGAAAAATGAAAGGGGGAGAAAAGAGTGGAAGAACAAAGCGAGAACCATTTCGTCCCACTGCAAACGCTAAAACCAAAGCCGGCACCGTTAAGCCGACATGCTACCATAAAATCCGCCGCTAAGACGACTAAGCGATTAAATGTTAATTAAATTAAATTAAAGTAAACTTAGCGCAAGCTGCGATTAAAATACGAATGAATTTCTTCTTCTCGCTATAATTGATTGCAAAACGAAATTCCATTTAAAACCGGCATTTCGCATTTCACATTTCGCATATCACATATCGCACAACGCTTAGTACTTATTGGCCATCGTTCGCAGCTGATGACTACCGGCAGGCAGCCAATGTCAGCCAAAACAGAAAACAAAAACAAAAAACTAAAACAAAAACAAGCGGTTAAGCTGTTGAGTTTGACATTGACCTTGACTTGGGTGTCTTATCCGCTACAGCTGCACAATCTTCCTGCCAGCGATCGCAGTTCGGCGCGGAAATCCGTACTTGTTGCGTCTTGTAATATAGACGCTATCAACGTGACGCCCACGAGATTTATGCGAACTTTCACCTAAGGCGTTGAGTAAGCGGAGAGCGAATATTCATTCGCAAATTCTAATACTCAGCGATGAGCTGTAGTTATTTGAAAATTTCCCACATTCGCACATTCCAACAAAAAACAAAAAAAAGCAGGCATTTTTTTCTGTTTGGCGCATGTATGTAATATAATACTCGTATTTAACTTTGGCTTTGTATTTTTTTGTAACACCCAAAATGCGTTTGAATGCAAATTATTTGCGTAGGACTTTCAAGTTATTTTATCTGATTTTAATATTGTAATTATGCAAATCAGTTTTGTTAAATTTGCATGACATTTCGAGTGCAATGAATTTCGGAAAAATATATTGACCTGCTTGAAATGACATTTTCGAGTGATTTAAATATTTTCTCACAAATTAGTTTTAATTACCATTGCAAAAATATTATTAAAATACAATATAGTTATTTTATTTTTATAAATCCTTAACAGGTGTGCGATATGATATTTTTCTTTAAATTGAAACATGGACCTGAACTGAGAGATATTTTAGAACGTAAAAATACCGTAAATATCTTTACATTCTTCTCCTATTCAATTATCGCTAAAGCGATTTTCGGCCGAGCTCCTCCTCCAATTTGTGGTTTTGCGGCTTGATGTTTTTCCAGCAAATGGAGGGATCTGCAGTATATACTAAGCCGCCTTCGAACGGCTGATGGTTTTTTTTACGAGAATCCTTTATTTCATGCCAAAATTACACACGGAGGGATTTAACTTAATTTTTTATTTAAATTAATTTTCTATAATATTAGCCGCTGGTCGGACCAGTGCTCGAACTCTGGCATTCCGAATGGCACTACGCTATGCTAATCACTCGGCTATCGCGGCCGCTCACAAAAAATTTTTTCTCTTTAACTTCAGAGCACACCGGAACTTCCTTCTTGACTTCATCATCGGTGATTTTTAACCCTCAGTTCTTTCAACATACACGGAAGCAGGTAATAATGATTCGAGATCAAGTCTACGCTTTAGGTTAGGTGATTAAAAAATCGAAGAGCACCCAACGCAGAGCACCCAACGCAACGTCCACAAGAGAGCGCGTTGTCGTGCGAAAGCAGCACTTCTTTCGTCAATTTTCCCCGTCTTTTGTTTAAGTGGCTTCTTTAAGTCGCTCTAATATTAATATTCCTGTGTTATAAAACCACTTTTTCCTAATATTCGATCAATATAATTCTTTCCAAGTTCCAAAGGGTCCTAGTCAGTCCAGCTGACTGTGACACCATAAACTCCTTTGAATGTGTAGAAGATAAAACCAAGTTTCGACTCAGTGCACCATCCTTTTCTTCACTGCATAGGTCCAAAAATGAACGTCCTTTCGTTTTTGCGTAGCCATGAGCATTTTCGGCACCCATTTCGCGTTGACCTTAGTCATCTCTGCACCTAATGCGCGAGTTTTCTAAAATTGGTTGTACGGGATACCCCAATTATTTCAGCGAATTGCTTCTATTTTAGTCCAGCATGGTCGAGGAGAATTTTTTTTGGATAAGATCTGGTGTGCCCACCTTAATGATCCCGCCCGGCTTTGGGTCATTTTCAAGATATTTCCTTTTTTGAACAATAAACCGTAAACTGCGCTACTGCCACTAAAAAAACATCATATTTTCTCCTCACAAAGTTGCCCATATACCAATGATATCTCAATCATTATGGTCGAAACTGATTTGTCTTGCTTGGTAAGAAATTTTATAATATCGCGATTTTAGATTTCATCCATATAAAAATGAGGAAAATCTTGTATTTTTATTAACTATTATTAACACGTCCCAACCGTGCGACATGGAGTTTTTCACACATAAAACACTCATTGCAACTCCACGTCACACGACTTGGACGTATATTCGACCAATTGAGCCTGAAGACGGATACCGATTTGAAATCGAAATATATCGGGAGAAAAGAAAATTTACATGGCTTTAATTATTGTGACCTCAAGCCAACAAAAATTTTCAATTTGAAATAAAAGAAAGGTCGCTAAAACCATCAATAAATAAAAATAAGTTTAAATAAAATAGAACAAAATTAAATCGAATGGAATTAAGTTAAATAAAAATTATATTAAATAAATAAATATTTAAAATTTAGATTTATTTGCAACGGCAATAGAAAAGAAAATGCTGTAATCGGAAAATAATACAAGTCAGCTATAAAGATAACCGCAATAATTTCATCACACTGCATTAATCAACATTCTTCGAAGGTCATTTATTATTTAGTATGAATAATGTCAAGTGCAATATGACTAAGTACCAAAATTATATGAGACATCAGGACTATTGAACTCTGAAAAAGCGATTAAACGTATTTTCACCCAAAGAAATGTCAAATTCTCAGGCTCAAAAAAACACACACACACACATACAATAGCAAATGTACCTACGCATGCTTGCTAATCTCTTGGTACAAAAAACGCGAATTCGTATTAAACAGTGCAGGGGAAGGCAAATAAAGGCATAAAATATAAAAAAAAAAATTTTTTAAATAATAAAATAAATATAATAAACAGAGCAAAAAAAACTGTAACAAAATATGAGCTGAAGGGAACGAACGTATGAGAGCAGCGATGAGCGAATTTCCGAAATTTTAATCGGCAGGCTTAAGAATAATTGTTGAGAAAATTTTTAATTAAATATAAAACAAATACACCGCGCAACAACAACAACATTGTATCAATACAAATATCAACAAACAATAACAATAACAGAATATGTACTGTATGTATGTACAATAGCATGCTAAAATGTACTAACACTGAGCAGAGCGTGATGCTGAGTACGCCAACTGCCAACCAAGCGATGCCGATGACGCCGCGGCCGACAACTTGAATATTGAGATCAAGCAGACGTTTTCAAATCAAACCAATACCTGACGACTCATATCAGTCGTGTTTTAGCTCAATTTTTAATTATTTTACTTTTCGTATATAAACCAGCTGAACTTGAGCAGTAAGCACACATTCCTGTTGCAGCCACCAAAGCCTAAGGATTACTACACAGAGCAACTTAAGTGAAGTTTTGTAAAACAGCAAATATAAAGTGCAACAACAATTCGTGAAATTAAAAACCAACAACATACATTATATAAATAGTGTGTGTTCTTGTGTGCAAAAAAAAAAGTGTTTGAATTTTTTGAAAGAATTTTTGAACGAATAAAAATTTCCAACAAAATGAATGCGAAAGTGATTTTATTTGTAACGATTGTGGTGAGTAAAGAAATTGTAAAATTGAAATGTTAAAAAATTAAGAACAAAATTATTATAAACAAAGGTGAGCAGAGAGAGAGTAAGGTGAAGAAAAAAGTGAAGTAAAAATATTGAAAAAGTGAACTTCATGCAAATCAGTGTGTGATTAACTGGCCGGTGGAAGACTTTGAAAAATGCAAATGCACAAATTAAGTTACTCATACGACCAGTGGAATACGAAGCGCAAGTGCGCAAGTGCAAAAACTATTCAATATCACTTACACACTTACATACTTACACTCTTTGTGTGATGAGGAAATGTGAAAAATATTGCAAATATGCGCTGCTACTGCTCGCATTCACCGTAAACTCCAACGGTTTATGAGCATTGAAAATCACACATTTGCTATGGCAACAGCCATGAAGTGCATAAATAATTGTAAAAGAGCAGGGAGTGTTTTCAATTGATGCGTTTGAGCGGCTGAAATGTGACGGCGCAGTCATAACAGAAATTATTTTCGCAGTTTTTGCGATTGTTCACTTTGTATTCTTCCTCTTAATAATGTTTTTGACATGATTTTTATTTATCTTTTACTTTTTTTTTTTTTGAAAATAAATTTAAACAATTCAAATTAAAGTTCAATGCACTCACCATCTGCGCATCATACGCACTCTGGCTGTGGCCAAAAGAACCTTCAGTCACAATGATAATTGAATTTTTGCAACATATATCTAACGGTTGCATTTCAGCAATAAAATAACAACCAAAAAACTCAATCAAAACAAAAAATATACATTATTATTATATTGGTAAAATGTGTGTGTCACAATTAGAATGTGACCTTTACGATCTTATAGCTTTGAACTTGCCTTAAGGCGCATCAAAGACATGCATACATTGACATAATCGCATATATGTGCATGGATGCTAAAAATATCTGAATGTACATACAAAAATTAGCGTACATATCTACATATTAGTATGAGCTAAGCAAATCAAATTTGGCACAATCAATCATTCTAAATGGTGCGCATTCAAGTATTTTTTATTGTTTTTATTTTCACAAAAACAAGCACTTGTTCCCTCCTCACGCACACACACATATACATGCATACTAATGTATCTGAACTGTGTGTCCAATATGGTGCTAGAAACGAAACTGCCGCCATCAAAGCTACACAGTGCGGCTGGCACTGTGCAGCACACCCTAAAAAGTCTTTGTAAAACCAAAGTCGGCTGCTTTTTTAATTAATAGCAATTTCGTGAAGTGCTAAATATATGTATTTCGAAGTTTCAAAACTTTTTACAATTTTGTTTTTTTTTCAATTTTTTGTTATATTTTTTGTAATTTAATATTATTTTTAATTTTTTCTTCTGCATTTTTCACTCTTTTCACTTTTTTTGTTTATAACACTCAATTTATTACAACTTTTTATATTGACCAATTTTTTGTTATAACAAAAATATACTAAAATTTTTTGCTTTAGACGCAACAGCTTCTAATAACTCATTAGCACATAAATTTATTTTTTAGCCAAATATGTATGTTTATTTAAAAAACAAAATTATAAGCAATGTAATGTTTTCTTAGTTGCTTTTGTTGCTTCTGTTGGCGCTAACGCAAGCGCGCAGTTAATATTTTGTGTGATGCAAATTTACCAGTGATTTTAGATTGAAAAGATTAAAATTAATAAAATATAAACAATTTAATGGCACATCTTCGAAAAATTAGGTGAAAGGTCAAAACACTAATTTTATGAGTATTACATTATTATGAAGGAAATATTTAATAGTAAGAGAGTTCAAAATTTTCGAAATTAATTCGTTAAAGCTACCAGATAAATAATAAGAAATACAATTAAAAATGAAATTAAAAAAAAAAAATTAAAACTAAATCAGCAAACATAAAATATGAAGCTTATAAAAGAAATGATTTTTAATAATAAATTTTTTCTTTCTTTATTGATCTTTAAATTAATTTCGTTTAGTAAAACAAAACTTTGGCAAATATTTTAATGTCAATAATTTTATTAAAAATAATTATAATAATAATAATAATAATAATAATAATAATAATAATAATAATAATAATAATAATAATAATAATAATAATAAAAATAATAATAATAATAATAACAATAATTAATAATATGTATTTCTTTTACTTATAGAAATTGTATTATTTTAATAAATTTTTACTTAAAAAAATTTGCATTAAATCCATTTTAAATTAAAATTTCTATTGCTTGTGAAATGATTTTTATATCCGAATTTTTTATTTGCTTTTCTTAGATAAAAAATTAAAAAAAAAACTAATCGATTTTTCGAAATAACTTTTATTCAATTTATTTTGCTATACATATTTTTGTAAAATTTTTTATTTTAAAAACATATTTACATCTTATATACAAATCTAATAAATATTTCTCTCCTGCTTCTCTCTCCCTCTCTTCTTGTAGGCCGGCGTTGCGCTCAGCACCGCCGTACCCGTTGGCGATAATCAAAATGGCAAGTATCAGAATTCGGTAGATAATAACAATGATGGCAAATATCGTCCTAGCAATGATGGCAAATATCGACCAAGTTCTCGCGATGAAGGTAAACCTTCTAGTTCACAAGCATTCGACAAACGAGAAAGCATTAAAATGTGAACGCTTTTCTTCTTCAATGTAGTGTTGCGCTGTTCTACTATGCTGTTTTAATGTAGTTGTTGTTGTACTTGTAGTATTGAGCATAAATAACCAAAAACGTACTGACACAAATTAACAAAATTCAAAAAAAAAAAAATATTTGAAACTAACCTAAAAGCGTAAAAGTAATAGAATTTCAAAAAAAACACGAAAAAAAATTTCAAAACTAAAAAAATTTCAAAAATAAAAAAAATTTCAGGAGAAAATAAATGTAAATTGAATAGTAATAACCATACTGAAACTCTTTTCAGAAAATATATTTAACTATGCACCAAAATTTCCACTATATTCTCTAACACTAAACACTTACTAATGCACCTAATTGAATATTCAAATTATTATTAATATTTTTTAGCTACACAAATAAATACTAGACAATACTGACAAAAAAAAAGACAAGAAAAATCTCAGCGTCAAATAAACACTAAAACCCACAATTAACCAAAAATGTAAAGCCTTGCGGAGATATGTTAAAAAACACATAAATTAATTAAATACATGTACATATTATATATGTGTATGTGTGCTCTTGTGAATGTAGTTGTGTATAAATTGCCAGTTGCTGTCATTGTAAATATATTTATATATTATTTTTGTTGTATAGACAATTTGTTGTTGTTATATATTATTAATTTTACCTATGTGTATATATGGCTGAGATGGTATATACGAATTGGTTTCAAATTGAAAACGTTTAACATACCATATATTTGTAAATAATTAAATTAATTGCCTTTCAGTGCGTAGAAGCACGTACAAAAACACTTTTTCTAATATTGAAATATCTACTTCTAGGCGCAAGAGGCGGCTACTATGATTCCCATGGTAAAGATATATTTTGGTTTACATTTTTTTATTATTATTTAAACATTTGCGAAAACAAAACATAAAATTCATAAAATGAAACATTTAAAAGAAAATTCCTAAAAAAATATATTCCCCTGAAAATCCCAAATATTCAGTTATAATTCATTACGAAATCCACATAGACATAACCCGGTACCACTTCGGCATGAAACTGTATCATTAAAAATTTAAAAAGCTGAAATAAAAATTGCTAAAAATGACTTCGCCTAAGCATTGCCATCAACAAGTAAAACATAAAATCAATAATTTAATTAAACGTCATTTATTAACTATGACAAATATACGAAATAAATCATAATTTCTTTTTATTAATTTTATAAAAAAAAAATTTTTTTGCTCTAATTTAAAATATTTTTTCCGCTATTTGCAAAAAAAAAATCACAAAATTTATTTAATTTTTTTTACAAAATAAAAACTAAAAATTCATTGGACTACATATTTTTTTAAAATTTCTAATTATCATTTAATTGTTTGAAAAGTAAAATTTTATATTAATACGCTCGAATAAATTTACAAGCTATCGCCTAGCAACAGCCCCATCTATCCTACTAACACACTCAAACTCACAATTAATTACTCATACGCATGCAATTGCTAAAAGAATGCTTTCATAAGAAAAATACTTTCTATAAATCGCACAAAAACAACTTAAAATGATTAAACTTATTTATTATTTCTTTCTTTTTCACTCTTCATCGCCACCATTAAATAGGTCGTTATGTACACAGTACCCAGCCGTACCGTCACGTGCACGACAATCGAGAACTTGGCAAATACAAGCACATCCCATACCCCTATGATGGTGGTTATGGACCATACAACGGTTCTAACATACCGTATATGCATGTCGATGTGCCTTACGAGTAAGTAAAATTAATAGAGAAAAAGATAAAAAAAAATAAAAAAAATACGCATAGGGAAATTTAAAAAAAAAATTTAAGTCAAAAAATATTTTAAAAAATAAAAATATATATTAAACACACTAAAAATGAATTTAAATTAATATTAAAAAACAATAAATATTACAATCTTTTGCAAACAAAAAATTTAAACTCTTTTCAAAAAAGTTAAAAGCAATTCTTTTTTAATTTTCAAAAACAGAAACAATTTTTTTTTTTTTAATAATATAAGCTAAATTTTTAAAATTAATTTTTATTTTCTTCTTCTTTTCCTCCCCTCACCCACAATAGCCACAATCTTTACACAGTAAGTAATGCTGATTTTAAAGTTCCTGAAATCAAATTGGAATATGGCTTCCCTGACCATGAACCACAAATTGACATCACACCCAACACCGATATTCCTGTTGTAAATCACTCCGAAGATTTAAATGATAACGGAGTTGATACAACGTCCAAATCCCCAAGTGCAGAGCAATGAAAAAAACACGAAATGATAAATCCCGCAAAAAAGCAATCCCAGTATCCCGCATCCTATCACTCATGATAAAATATACGCACATACACACACACCAACATACATTACATTTATAGTATTAACATTGTATGAGCATATTCATGAAATACCTCAATTAATGCACTTTATTATAAGAAAAAAAAATCATTAAAATATTAAAAACGAAAATCCCAAAATCCCATAACATTGCATTTTTTATATGAAAATCACAAAAAAAACACGAAGAAATATTTTAAAAACATTAAAAAAATTTTTAATCTATATTTCTTATTTGTAAAAGATAATTATTATCCTATAGAACACAGCTTTGAAAGTATTAATTATATTTTATGCAACTTTGGTATTGATATTGTGACAATCTTTTTTTCCAAAACAACACAAAAGCATAATCAACTCAATGTTAAAATATCGAGCTGCCCACTACCAGCACAGAAAAATACTTAATATTTTTTACACATTTGAAAAAAAAGTATTTAAATTGCATGCCAAGCACATTACTCATTTAAATAAACACACACATACACAGACACATAGTTTAGCACTTGCACTTATGCACCTGCTCTAACACACACACACACACACGCACACACAAAATAAAATAATTCAATTAGCCCCACTACACAAACCACCCACGCACCCAACCGCACATACTACCACGCACTTATACAAATTCAAATAGTAGTCACAAATATACCGTTAAACGCGCATTTACTCAATTACAAAATTCCACCCCTTTTTCAACAAATTCGCCAACAACAATCAAACAATCCATCACCAATCAAATAAACAAACAACAATCCTCCAACAACAACAAAATTCGTACTACAACAAAAATACACACGTGCATCCAAAATCAAACAACAACAACAACAAAACATCCATTCACAAAAATCGCAAAACCAAAACGCAAACAAAAAAAAAAATCACATAAAAACCATAGAGCACAACAACTACTACCAAGAAACCCACTACCACCACCACCACCACAACAACGACCACAACCACAACAACACCGCGCTCGGTATTGTTCAACTATGACGAGGAGGGCAAATACAAGGTGGTGCATCAGGAGGATGCTCGTAAAGAGGACAAATATGATCATTCGTAAGTGTAAAAATGAAGCATTTTAACATTTAAATTACACGATATTTATCGATATTTTTTTAAATTAACCGATTAGTTTGAGGATGAGTTAAAAACGTAAAATTGAATTAAGGTTTTGTTCGAAAATGATTTTCAAACAAAATTTATTTTTAACACACTTTCGATTATTTATCGATAAGACTGAAAAATTTCAAATATTTCACTAGTCTAGCATATCGATAACTTATTGACTTTTAATTTTTATCGATTATTAAAGTATCGAAAATTATCTCGTATGTGTTGCACCGGTTATTCAATATTTAACTCGCGTCAGAGATTAAGCATACTCGCTTTTACTATTAACTAAATGTTTTTATAATAACTTCATAATAACTCTTCCCTCCCTAACATTTGAAGTGAAACACTCTCTTTAATTTTCTCTCTCTACACCCCCGCCTCCTCTCCACAGTTACCTAACCGAAAACGGCATCTACGGCGAGGAACAAGCCAAACTACACAAAAACGGCGGCACCGACGCTAAGGGCTACTACGAATACACCGGCGATGATGGCAAACTCTATCGTGTCCACTACGAGAGCAACCACAACGGTTTCGTACCCAAAGGTGATCACATCCCAACACCACCACCAATCCCAGAGGCCATTGCACGTGCACTGAAATATGTTGATGATTTGCGTAAATCTCGCGGTGAAACGCCCATGTTCGATCAACGCGGTTTCCGCATTGACAAAATGTCATCCAAGGATATAATGGCTAAAATCAAATCGATTCACTTGGAGGAAATGCCCAAAGAGATTAGCGAACAAATCTTGGAATTCGAGCATGAAGTGGAAAACTATGCACATATGATTGAACAATACGAACAGGAGCAGCCACAGGCACAATATGTGGAGGAGTATCAACAACAAGAACAATATGATGTACAACATTATCAACAACAGCAAGAGCAACAATATGCGGAATATCAAAAAGAATTGTACGATGAACAAGCCACCGAAAGCAATCCACAGCAAGTATATGCATAAGAGCGAAAAAGTGCTTGAAGTGAAGTGAAAAAGAGGTGCCATGAGTGTTAGAAGCAAAGAGTATATACATATGTGTATGTATGTATAACTAGCATTAACAAATTGATTATTGATAAATGAGAGTTAGACGAATTGCAAAAACAGATTTAGGAATTTGTTTACGAATTACAAACAAAAGACAGCCACAAAAACCTTTAACAACACACTTATATATATATATATATATATATATTAATTATTTAAACTAATATTTAATAATTATAATTATATTATTTAAAACACAAAAACGAAACTAAAAAAATTACAAAAAAAGAATATTGAAAAAAAATTTTCATTAGTAATAACGAAAAATTTTACGCTTCACCCACATCAACGAACATGAACTATCATCATTAATTATGTAAAGCAATTGGTGGCTAATATAAAATGTTTACAGACGAGCAACGAGCTAAGAACGAAGTCAGCTTTCGACAGTCACCAAAGCGAAAATCGGCCATAGCATTGAACCATCAAACCAGGAAACAAACGCACAAGACGTGGAAACCTCCCATGAAAGCACGCACATAAATACGCATTACAAAAAACAAACAAAAAAATCACACATAAACACATCCCACACCCTTCCCCTACTGAAAAGTAACGAAAAACAGAAAAAACACAAATCCCCACAAATAAAACAAGTCATCAATAAAAAATCAAAAAAAAAATTAAAAATAAATAAATAAAGAATAAAAAAACAAAACTAATAAAAAATGTTAAGAATTAATTTCATATTTAACTATTTATAATAAATTTATTAGTTATGTCAACAAACAAACAAACTATGAAATAAGTCATAAAAATGTGTTATATGTAGTAAAAAAATATGTTTAACAAAATAAAAATGTAAAATAAAATCGAAATAAACTTTTAGCAAATTGAAAACGAATACGCCTTTTTTAATTAAATTTTAATGCACAAAAAGAAAAATCCATGAAAATATATGTACATATGTACATATATGTGTTTTTGTTGAAACCATAAAAATTATACGCGCACTAATAAAAAATATATTTTTATGAGTTTCCCTATCGCCAAGACATCGCCAACACCATCGTCAGCAACGCCAGCGTCAGCATCGGCTTCGTCAGCTACTCGCCCGAAATTGCAACAATAAATTTCATTGGCTCATTTACGATTGCCACTTATTATTTTAGAGTTCAACTGTTGTTGTCTGTTTTTTTTTTTTTGTTATTAATTTATTTTTGTACCCACAATAACTGCTGACTCTTCTTCTTTTCTGCAGCTTCTATGCGGTGACTAGTGATTTTTACATTTTATTACTCATTCACTTTATATTTATGCGCGTACACACGAGTATTTACTTCACTCCTTCACAATATTTCTTATAATTATCTAGAGTAAAAGGTATTTCAAGGTCAGTTCGTGTGTATTCGCTTCGTGTATGCGTACGCAATGGCCGCGGCTCGCTCGTAAATTGTATAAGAACGAGTGCTGGAGTACGAACTAGTTGAACCGTGCTTCGTAATGGCGTTCATATTGACATTTATGACGTTCAGCAGTAGCAATGTTAATGTGCAGCAAGAGCAATGCCAATACAAATATACATATGCACGTATATTTGTATGTATGTATGTACGTACGTAGTAGTACATTTGTCCATCATATCGAACCGATCGATCGCATGACACTATGTCACTGCTATGCGGGAGTTTTGCCATACACACACGCCCATCTGTATGTATACGAGTATATTTATAGTCGTACATACATTGCGCCAGGAAGTGCAATAAATTCAAGCTCAGCAACCGGCATTAAAACTGTTGAAATGAATTAAGCTCACTGCCTGATTAACTTAACGGTTCGCCATTATCAACTTACATACACATATGTACATACGTACATATAATACATATGTACATATGTATATACTCACTCGGGTAGAGTGGCCTAGCGGCTGGTGTTTGTATATATTTTTTGTGTGAATTATGATTTTCAGGATAATGTGAATGAACTGCAGTGTACGCAGCCGCAGCCGGTCAGTGAAGGTAAGCGTCATTTGGCATATGTAAATTATTTAATCTCTTTCCCACTATTTCGACCCGGCATGCAATGTTGTCACATTAACTATATTTATGGTATGGAGATCGTGGAGATCAGTGAATGTGTATATTTAAAAATAATCGTTGAGTATTTGTAATAAATTTTGTAGTTAAATAAATTTGTGTGACGCAGATATTTGGAGTGCAGAAAACTATAAAAATAAATTCACTCATTTACAACTTATGCGTAAGATGTGCGTACCCACATATTTATGTATGCATGTATGAAATATATTTTAACAGTTCTCAGCGCATAGATTACATTTCTTATATGATGATTGCAGGTACGAGAAGTTGGCGATGAAACATGCCTTGGGAGGTGAAATAGGGTGAGAATATGAATTGTTTTCGCCCTCTCCCGGCTCAAGAGTACGGAGAGCTAATGAATTCTTAACTTTTGGTTTATAGCTGAAGTAGGCATGTGTATTTAAAAATGGGCGCAATTTGAGCATTCCGAGCTTTTGCTAGTTATTTACTGGTCAAATCACTTGATGTGCTTAATGAAGTTCAGTTCGAAATCTTCCAAAACTACAGTATTCTTATGAATCCGGACCCCACGACCAAGCCAGCGCATGTCGCTGTTTCTTGAATCTTCATCAGTGGACCATAAACTTTACGCATAACATTTCTCTCGAAAACTCCTAACGCTGGCTCATCAGATGTTGTCATCATTCATGCTTTCGTACCATATAGCAGGACGGGTATGATGAGGGACTAGGAGAATTTGTTTTTCGATCGTCAAGAGAAGTATTTACTTTTTAGTTGCCTACTCAGTGTAGCACCGGTTGGGAAGAGTGATTCTGCGTTGAATATCCAGGCTGTCATTGTTGTTGGTGTCTACAACACCAAGGTAGAAGAAGTTATCTACGACTTCAAAGTTATGATTGTCTACAGTAACGTGGGAGTCGAGTCGTGAATGCGATGACTGTTTGTTTGATGACAGATAATTTTTCGTCTTGTACTCAGTGCTCACGATGGGGCTGTTGAGGCCAATAATGTCAACATCAGCGGCGTACGGAAGCAATTTAGACTCTTATAGAAGATTGTACCTTCTAAATTCAGTTCTGCAGCTCTTATTATTTGCTCCAGCAAAAAGTTAAAGAAGTCAAACGATAAAGCATCACCCTTTCTGAAACCTCACTTGGTATTGAACGGCTCGGAGAGATCCTTCCCGATCCTGACGGAGCTTATAGGGTCCCCATTAGACATTGCCTGTTTATTATGTCTATGAAGACCTTGTTTAGAGAAGTATAGACTCAGCTCTGTTTTCCTCTATCAATGGCCAAATTTGGCGAGTCACATTGCACGTCTGTTATTGGTCTTTCTGGCGATTGTTCCGCTTCTGGCGAGTTCGTCGACTATGTCATCCTCTGTGACTCCCCTGTCTCCTGTCCCCAGGAACCCAAGCCACGGACGTTTCGCATTCAGTCGAGAGCTTGCTTAAGACTTCTCTGCAGTTTATTGGCTCCTTTGAGATGGTATGATTACATTAGGGAGACTTAATGGCAGACTGGCTTTCAGAATAAATTGTAAAAGGTTGGGTTATCACCTTAGAATCGGGCAATCATGAAGCAGCTGCAATGGTAGGGACGTTTCTTACTCAATCCTATAGCAGAAGGTTCAGAGTAAAGTACACAGCCTACTCCGCCATCTAGTTAAGAGCCATAGGTGAGGATGGCTATAGATCTTTGATCCAGAGCCCTTTTTTAGAAATTATTGTCGAAGCAGAAGATGTATTAAGTATTGAGTTTAGTACTTGAGTTGCATTTAGCTATGAAACGTTCCCCATCGTAAGAAGTTTTCCATATAGATCTACCGGAGCAAGATTATATAATTCGCGCTTTGTAACCGCTGAAGCGGCATTCCCTGCCGAGAGGCGACCGCAATTAAAAAAATTAACTTTTTTTAATTTTAATCAGATTTCAATGCAACGCTTTTACGGAGGAAGTTTTAGATTAGAGCTTGCGTCGGAGCAGAGGGCAGCGCACATGTAAGAAGTGGGGACGCCTCTTTCGAGCAATTCAGCAATAAAGAAGTATCGAGCCCCTCGAATTGCTCGATACACGAACATTTAAAGTGTATTCAGCCAATATTTTTAGATCCGTTTGAAGAAACATCTAACTTAGCTGCTAATTTCCTAGAACAACTCAAGCTCTCGCCGCGAATTATGTTTTACAATTTCTTTCGATTGAATACGATTATCTCGTAGTGGGAATTCGAATTTTGGAATGAGAAAAATTTCGATAGGAGCGATATAAAGAGAATACAGTCTTCAATCGATGGCATTCACTGTAGGATGTGCCTAGACGTGTTGGTATTTTCAATAGTTAATTGGACGATCAAGCTGGCAATAAAGTTACAGACAATGGGGAAAGCTTCAGAGCCATAATTAATGGCTTGTGCATGTAGTAATTGAAGGATGTGAACCAATTTAATAAAGGTATCTTTCGGTGGGTGCACTATCTCGCTGAACTATTTTCTTTGACCGGATTAAATGGAGCCCGAATGTCTTCAGCGACCTAACAGCCGGAACGCTTTTCATGGCCAAATAATTTACATTGGCGTAATGTATTCATGAGACACAATAAGATTCTCACTCAAATTTAAATGATGGTTTCCCGTTATTCTCTGTTGAAAACGACGATGATCTTCAGACAGTCCAATTGCTGACAGTATAAGTTTGAATTATGATTTTGGCATAGGGCTGCAGCTCAAACAATTCTTGGGCATCAGTCCTGGCTCGAGGACCGTTTGTGCCGGCTCAGTGTCCTTCGAACACTACCGTTTTCAGTTGACGTTGCTGTAAGTTATCTGCTTCAGAAGGAGAGAAAGAGCTTGTTACTATTCAGCAGCGATGCGCAGATAGAAATTCAGTCCTCGTTAACAGATGTAGCACCCAAACATCGCACTTCTTAGTGTATCCAACACCTGTTTCCAAACGGTTTTTTCTGCAATCTTTAGCTTTTTGGAAATTGAAACACTGTTCACCATGAAGGTCAGACTTGGCGATTTGTTGCGTTACCTTTAACGAAGAAACCTTGTAGAATATGCCACTCTCTTTACATACATATATGAATATATATAAAGACCTGTATATTTAAATAACCCCTTAAAAACTAATCTAATCACATAATTTTGGGACCGAAT